TCGGCGTCCTGCAGCCGCTGGGCCAGCTTCTTCCTGCCCGGGGCAGTGGGGGTGTGGCAGATGGGAGAGGGTGGGGAAGATGGAGGGTATAGATTTGGACAAGGGGAAACAACGTGAGTGTTCTAGAAAACAATCCTTGAAAATTCAGAAGCATTGTTGGAAAAGCTGAGGACAGGCCCCAGGAGGCTGAGAGGTGGGCAGGCAGAGGGTCTTGGTGGCAGGTTGTGAAGACCCACAGAACCCAAGAGGGCCTTCCAGATGGTCTCCCCTGACCCTGGGCCAGCCTCTATGCTGCAGACATGGAGGACGCATGGGCTACTACAACACCCCCCCCCACCGCATCTCCCATCCCGCCACAGCACCCTGCCCCAGGTGGGAGCACTCTGCCCTCAGACAAACCTTTTGTTCGTCTTATATTCGGATGAGAAACATAACGCGAGCAAAAAGCTTCCCTGAGAGGAGAAAGAAGTGGGGGCCCCCAGACAGAGTTCTCCTGTGTTGTCAAAACCTGGCCAAAAGTCTATCCCAAGGTGCAGAATCTTCCCAGGTCTGGGCAGGGTTGTGTCCTGCCTGCAGAGGGGCCTCAGTGAGAGGCAGCCACCAGGGACTCACTTGGCTTCTTCAAGCTCCTCTGTCCTCTGGATGGCATCTGTCTCATACTTGGTCCTCCACTGGGCCACCTCCGAGTTGGCCTTGGACAGGACGCGCTGCAACTCAGCCTTGGCCTCCGTCTCCTCCTCGTACTGCTCCCGCAGCAGGTCACAGTCGTGTCGGGCTGACTGCAGTGCGTGGGCCAGGGCGTTCTTCGCCTGGGGAGGGGTGGGCACCGGAAGGTGGGCTCAGCTTTCTCCAAAGTACAACCCCAGACAGCGCCCACATGCTCACCCTAGTTTCTCCATCCTCCCCGGGACCTCACCTATTTCTAAATCCCCCATGGGCCCGGAAAAGTCTACTGAGGACTAATAACAAAGCGTGTCCATATAGTATTCTACAGTTCACACAATGTGTCATGCCCACCACTCCTTGCTCTTCACTGCAGCAGGCATTATTGACCTCGTCCTCTTTTACGGGGGCTCAAAGAGGTTAGGTGGTTCCCCCAAGATTACCAAGCTCTAAGGGACAGGTCACGATGGAAGCCCTGGCCTTTTTAAAAAAGTCATATTCTCCCCCACCCCTTTTCTTTAAATTTTTAAAAAATGTTTATTTTTGAGAGAGAGAGACAGAGCTGGAGAGGGGCAGAGAGAGAGGGAGACACAGAATCTGAAGTAGGTTCTAGGCTCTGAGCTGTCAGCACAGAGACTGACATGGGGCTCAAACCCACAAACCACAAGGTTGTGACCTGAGCTGAAGTCAGGCACTTAACCAACTGAGCCACCCAGGTGCCCCTAGTTTCTTTCTCTAGTTTTCAGATTGCCCTCCTAATCCCAAGACCTATTTGTACTGTTCCTCCATCCCATACTTGTGCCCAGCCAAGACAATCATTCCTCCCTAGTTTATTTCCTCTTCTCTGCCTCACTTTCCCCAACCCAGGCATCCTTATCCCATGCCCCTCTTCCTCCAGAGATGGCAACAGAAAGGCAGAGGGCCTCAGCCTGGGCAATAGATTTAGGAAGCATGTGGTAGGCTCTGGGCTATTATTCCTTTTGGAAAGTGGGAGAACAGTGAAAAACAGCAAGCCTCATTCTTGGGACCTGCTTGCTCCCTGCCTGGACCTAGTGGCCTGAGTCTCGGCCTCACCTTAACTTCTTCCTCCAGCTGCCTCTTGAGGTCCTCCAGCTGCTGGGTGTAGGTGAGCTTGCCTCGGGTCAGCTGGGAGATCAGTGCCTCCTTCTCATCCAGCTGCCGAGACAGCTCACCTGGAGAAGAACCCAGGCACACTCAACTCCGGAAGGTCAGTCACCTCTCTCCCCAACCCTTCCCTTAACTGTTAGGCCCCACTCTTAGGAGGTGTGTGTGTGTGTGTGTGTGTGTGTGTGTGTGTGTACACGTATGTGAGTGTCTCCCTAAGGCCGGGTGGCTTAGAAATGGGGGAGGTGGAGGGGGACTTACCATTCTCAGTCTGTAGCTTGGCCCGCTGGCTGGTGAGGTCGTTGACAGAACGCTGGGTCTCCTCGGCCTTGCTTCGGTGCTCATTCATCTGGTCTTCCAGGGTCCGGCACATCTTCTCCAGGTTAGCCTGAGGGAGGAAGGGAAGTGGATACGGTGAATGAAGGGTTGTAAGGGGTGTATGTACAGAAGTGAAGAGGAGAGGCATGGTAGGGAGAGGATGGGAGAACAGGGTGGAAGAAGAGAGGTGGGAAACTGGACCATCAGAGAAGAGAGGAGACATGCACAGAGAGTGAAGGTGGGTGGAGGGAATTGGGTGCAAGGAGGGTGAGCGGGCAGCCCACCTTGGCCTTGATGATCTGCTCCATGTTGGAGGTGACATCATCCAGCTCCAGCTTGAACTCGCTCTTCTCCTTCTCCAGCTTCTGCTTCACACGCTGCAGGTTGTCGATCTGCTCGCCCAGCTCGGCCACGCTGTCGGCGTGCTTCTTGCGCAGGGCCGCCGCCGTGGCCTCGTGCTGCAGCGTGGCCTCCTCCAGGTCCCGCCTCATCTTCTGGAACTCGGCCTCGCGCTTCTTGTTCATCTCGATCTGCACGGACGTGGCCCCGCCGGCCTCTTCCAGCCGCTCGCTGATCTCCTCCAGCTCCCGGGACAGGTCTGAGCGCAGCTTCTCCACCTTGGCCCTGGCTGTGCGCTCAGCCTCCAGCTCCTCCTCCAGCTCCTCGATGCGAGCCTGGGCCGGGACACAGAAAGCTCAGACCCACCGCCTGCAGACCCCACCCCAGGGCTCCAGAACATTCCTGGCCTGTCTGGAATAGCAAGTCAGTTCAGTTTTATCAGCAGAGAGGTAGAAATAAAAGATTTAGGGAAGATGTTTTGGCTGCTGAGCTAGCCCTCCTTCACTCCCGAACATTATACATTGTCTGTTGGAAGGACAGGGGGTTGAAGCTCACACTTTAAGAGGGACAAAGAGACTTATGTTCTAGGGATATTTTAAGCAGTTTAGGAGCAAAACTATCAAAAGTTTAGAATGAGAGAGCCATGTTTATCTAAAGACCTAACATGGTGTCTTCTCTAGGGTAAGAATAGAAGTCAAAGAATGTCAGGGCTAAAGGGACTTAAAAGCCATTGGTAACAGGGAAGACACAGAGACTCAGAGATCTGGAGTGGGCTCCCTGCGGTCACCAGCTAAGCCAGAGTTGAGACAGGAAGCCAGGATTTCTGCCTTCTACACCTGTGACCTTTTCAAGGTCTCTTCCTATGTCATCCCAGCCCCTCCAAGGGGTGCTTCGTGGGTGTGCTGGGGTAGGACATCCTGGAGGAGGGGGTCGAGGAGGCCGACAGCCAGCCCAGGGACTCCAGCCTAGGCATCCCACACCTCACCTGAAGCTCTTTGAGCTTCTTCTGCAACTGGCTGCCGAGGGCCTGCTCATCCTCAATCCTGGCATTGAGGGCATTCAGTTCAAAGTCCTTCCTGTAGAGAAGCGGGGAGGGTAAGGTGAGGAAGGTTGGTTGGGCACCTGGAGGGCCCACCAGTGGTTGGAAATGGTAATACAAAAAATGAAGAGCAGGATTTCACTAGAAAAATAGCATCTGGGGCTGATGTAGAGTCCCTGAAAATGTAACACATGCTGAAGGGCTGAAGTCCAACAAGAAATGTAATTGGCAGAGCACCGCAGGTGGAGTGACAAGACCTGGGCTCTGTGGGACTTCCTCTCTGTGGTTCTGTAGAATGAGGCATTGGATGAGATGGTTTCAAAGGCCCCTTTTTGCTCTGATGGCCTTTAATTCTGTTACTGTTACTTTAGACCCTTTGGTTAACCTTTCTGAACCTTCATTTATGCTTTGGTAAAGTGGGCCTCAAAATACCATTCTTAGAAGGTGGTTTGAGGGTCCATGGGATGATATAGTCATTAGTTCATTCAACAAATGCTGCGTCTGGAGAAGTGTAAAGATTCCTGAACAGAAGCAAGCCCAATGAGGATATAATCATGATAACTCTCAGAGCCTTTCGAAATCCTGACCCTAAAGCACCATAAGATCCTTGATTGTCCAAATACATCCTGCAGGTTCAGTTTCCCAAGTGTGGAAAGTGGATCTATACATTTTGGTAGAATTTGCAATAAGGATTAGATCCACAAGTTCATAGGACCCTGCACTGCTCAAGTGTGGCAGCTGACCCGTTTCTCTGTGGTCCTCCAGGTTCTCTGTGAAGGACCTGAAAAGCCTTTCCTGAGAGGCTTTTGTGTGGAACCTTCCTCAGTGTTAAGCAACTGGTCTCCAAAGAGACTTGTGTGAAAAAGGAGGTGAGCTGTTATTTTCCATCTCTTCACTCCCCAACAGGAAGAAAAGGTTTGAGGGATCCAAGTTCAAGTTTTTGCCAGGGAGGACTGCGGGGCCTGGCTACACCTGTCTGGGGGAGGAAGGCCCTCTTCCTGGAGGCCTCTGCCCACAGTTTTGTAGCCACTGATGGAGCCTGCGTGGGGTTCTGAGGGCGGGTGTCTTGGGGCAGCATGTACTGTCATGGGCAGAACAGTCCGCTGAGCTGAGGGGGAGGAAGGGCACCAGGGAGGGGAGCACGCTACTTTTTCAGCCGCTCGTCCAGCTGCTGCTTGTCGTTCTCCAGGTCCATGATGCTCTCCTGGGTCAGCTTCAGGTCGCCCTCCAGCTTCCGCTTTGCTCGCTCCAGGTCCATGCGTACCTTCTTCTCCTGCTCCAGGGACCCCTCCAGCTGGTGGAGAGAAGGACCAGTGTGCCCCGTAAGACCAATTGTCCTGATTTGGTGATTTGGAAGCTCAGTCACTCCAGGGTTAGGGAATCCTAAGAAATGTCCAGGACTCAGAAAAGCTTCCCCAGAGTGGGCGAGAGGACTGGGAGAGTGCCTGGTATAGAGGGATGCTCAGTAACCATTTGATAAATGATTTAATGAATGGCTGTGTGCTGAAACCCCAAAGCTGCCTTCATTCATTCAGCATCCCGTGAGCTTCTGCAGACCTGTGCTAGGCACTTTAGACACAACCCTGAATAAATCCAAGTTCTACCTAAAGGCAGCTTTTGGTCTTAGGGCTGAGACAGATACTTCAGTAATGATAACATGGGGTGATAAGTGATCCCATGGACATATGCACAGAGAACTATCTGCAAAACAATGATCACTGAGGACTAGATCCTGCCTAAAATATTAGAGGTCCAAAGATCCTCCTTGAGGAGTCTCACAAATTTCCCAAGAAATGTATCATGTTTTTATGTGATATCTCTCTAATCTTATGGTTGAAGGTAGAGATATAAAGGCTTGACCCTAAATCGAGAAAAGGAAGCCCATCTCTACTGTTGATCATATCAGTAGGATGAAATGGATAACTCATAATTGATCACCCTTCCCCTTTGCTATTCCCCAGCTCCTTTTTAGAAAGTTATCAGGGGAGGGGTGCCTGGGTGGCGCAGTCGGTTAAGCGTCCGACTTCAGCCAGGTCACGATCTCGCGGTCCGTGAGTTCGAGCCCCGCGTCAGGCTCTAGGCTGATGGCTCGGAGCCTGGAGCCTGTTTCCGATTCTGTGTCTCCCTCTCTCTCTGCCCCTCCCCTGTTCATGCTCTGTCTCTCTCTGTCCCAAAAATAAATAAAAACGTTGAAAAAAAATTAAAAAAAAAAAAGAAAGTTATCAGGGGAGGGAATACTCTCCAATCCCATCCTTCTAAACATACACACACAAATACACATGGACATGGACATGGTATATCTAGGCCCTGTGGCAATCTACTTACATCGTCCACCTGCTGCTCCAGCTTGACTTTGGCCTTGGTCAGGGTGTTGACCTTGTCCTCCTCGGCCTGAAGGTCATCTAGGGCTTGCTGGTGGGCCTCCTGCAGAGCCTTCTTTTCCTTGGTCAGCTTGGCGATGATCTCATCTAGCCCAGCCATTTCCTCTGTCAGGTTCTTCACCTGCCAACCAAGACCCCCATCCCCTTTAGGGTCACAGGTCACCAGCCTGGAGATGTCTATGGGGATGTCCAATGCCAAGGACCAGGACCACCTTGTGGTTTGGGAATCCTGAGGAGACCTGGGCTGGAGCCAGAAGGAGCTGCCCTCACCTTGTTCTCTGTTGCATGCTTCTCCTTCTCCACCTTGGCCAGCGTCAGCTCCAGGTCATCAATGTCCCTTTTGAGCTCAGAGCACTCATCTTCCAGCTTGCGCTTCTTGGCAGTGAGCTCTGCATTCATCTCCTCCTCGTCCTCCAGCCTCTCTGTCATCTCCTTCACCTTGGCCTCCAGCTGGATCTTGTTCTTGATCAGCTGGTCACAGCGTTCCTCTGCATCAGCCAGGTTGTCTTGTTCCTGAGGACAAGGCACAGAGGGGAGGCTGATCAGTGGGTGGGGTGGCTGCCCTAACAGATGCAGGGAGGGAGAGGCTCAGCCTTCACTGTAGGAGGGGAGCTCCAGGATATCCCAGCTGAGAGAAACCTCAGAAGAATGAGGAAGGGAAGAATTTCAGGACAATATGATGGGAACATTGGGGGATGGAAGTAGAGAGGAAGGGAATCAGAAGTCTCTTTAGTTGGCCTTCTTCCTCTGGTCTACTCCACTGAAGGGAAGACACTACATTTGCTGATGCCAGCACTTCACATATTTACAACTTAGTGAGATGGGCAGCTTTATCCCCCGTCCAGAGATGAGGTCATTGAGACTCAAAGATAACATGTGGTTTGCTCAGGGTCAAAAAATTATTAAGCTGTGGATCCAGGCTGAATCCAGGTGGAAAGTCTGTTTTTAAAAGGTAGTTCTTTTCCCCTTCCCATTCATTCTCTGAAGGGACCTCCTTGGAGGTGTTTGAAGTATTGACCCTAGAATCCTGTGCCTATGAAAGGAGAAGGTGAGCCCCAGGCAGGGAAGTACAGGGTGTGTGGAAGATGTTGGCTGAGCAGGGCAGGCAAGCTAGCAAAGGCCTAGGAGCCTCACCGCCTGCACTTGGAGCTGGAGGTCATTCTTCTCCTGCAGCAGGGACACCATCTTCTCCTCCAGTTCCTTGCGGCGAGCCTCTGACTTCTCCAGCGCCTCTTTGATGCGTGCAAACTCCTCCTTCATGGTGGCCATCTCCTTCTCTGTCTCTGCGCTCTTCAGCAGCGGCTTGATCTTGAAGTAGAGCTTCATCCAGGGCCAGTTCTTGACCCCCATGAAGGCCCGAATGTTCCACTGGATTATCAGCAGGGAGTCTCTGCAGGGGCCCAGCAAGGGGTGGTGAGAGAGTCCCCTCTCTCCTTCCTGTCCTAAGGCCCTGACTCCTAAGTAATGGCCCTTCCTTCCTCTATGCCGCTCTGGCTGTGAAGCCCACCCTGGGTCTGTAGGAGCCCCTCCTGCTGGTCTGCTTGCTTGAAATTTCAGTGAGCTTTCTCCTGACACTGCCCCTGAACCAGCCTGGCCTTAGATGGTCAGGAGGCTCCTTCTGAAGCTCTCACCTGCGTTCCAGCAGCTTCTTGTACTCCATTCTGGAGAGCACACCCCGGGACTGGGCCTGGATGCGGGTGATGATGCGGCTCAGCCTCTCGTCACGCATCTCCTCCAGCAGCCCCAGTAGCCCAGCCTTGAAGAACACCTGTGGGCGAGGGGTGGGTGGGCCAGGAGGGGAAAGAAGAGAAGGTTCTTTTAAGGAGGGTGACACCCTAGGAAAGAACTGGAGGGAAGAGGTCAATGGCAGCTAGAGCTGGGATGGGGGTGGTGCTGGAGGGTTCACAGGGAAGGAAGCATGCCGTTCAGAGATGGTCCTAAGATGCTTGGTCAAAGGGAAGGAGGTACAAGGTGAGAAGCCAAAGGACGAGAGAAGTCTTTCTGTAACCAGCTTGTCTCCTCCCTTCCCTTACCTTGGTATGGCCGAACTTGTACTGATTGTGGTCAATGTCTAGGGAGCCCAGCAGCTTCTCTGCCCCTTTCCTGCTGTCAATGAATTGGCCCTCGGGGATGGCCGCTGGATTCAGGATGCGATACCTGGAGAGGGAGGTGCCCAGAGTCACCCACATTCTGTGCTGACCTGCTCTGCCCACAGTATTCACGGCCACCTGTGGACTCCCCTCCCCACCAGGTCTGCCCAGGCTCCCCCTGTTTCCTGAGCTCCGGGAGACCCTGTACCCACCTCTGCCTGAAATCCCCGTAGAGGATGCGGTTGGGGAAGCCCTTCCTGCAGATGCGGATGCCCTCCAGCACACCGTTACAGCGCAGCTGGTGCATGACCAGGGGGTTGTCTATCACTCCTGCAGCAGGAGATGGGGGGAGGAAGGTGTAGGGAGAGTACTGGACCAAACCAGAAGTTCTGGGCTCTGATCCTCGCTCTGTCACTCACTAGTCCGTTACCTTAGCAAGTCATTTAATAATGGAAAGTGGTCCTTTTTTTTTTTCATTTTGTTCATAGCTATACTCTTTTTTTTAATTAACAAATTTTTTTTAATGTTTTGTTTATTTTTGAGAGAGAGAGAGAGAGAAAGACAAAGTGTAAGCAGGAGAGGGGCAGAGAGAGAGGGAGACACAGAATCTGAAGCAGGCTCCAGGCTCTGAGCTGTCAGCACAGAGCCTGATGTGGGGCTCCAACTCACAGACCGCAAGATCATGACCTGAGCCGAAGTCAGATGCTTAGCCGACTGCTTAACCAGGCGCCCCTTCCTAGCTATACTCTTAAGAGTAACCAAAAGACTTTCACATTCTGTATTTTATATTGTGTTTATTATCATAGGTGGTAGCCAGGGCAAATATATCCCATTTTCTAGAGAAGAAATTAATCCCAGAGGAGTTAAGCCCAGAGAGTTTAAGGGACTTCACCAAGGTCACTAAGCTGACCAGAGCAGAGTTAGCCAAGCCTTGAATCCAGGCCCCTGAGACTCCAACTCCTAATCAGTCAAAAAAGGGTAAGCAATCTCTAAATGTCTCACTGGGGGGCTGCATGACATGAGGCGATGCCCATTTAAGTGCATTACATGGCCCCCGAATCACACAGCAAATGCAAGGAAATGGGGGTGGGTGGGAGTAGTCTACTATCTCATAGGGGATGGGAGGAGAGTGTCATTTGGAAACCACCATTGTGGGGGATTAGGAGATGGCTTAGGAGGCCCTGTCCCCGGGGCCTGGGGCATGTGGCCAACAGTGGCAAGTTCTGGGGCTCACCTGGAGACTTTGTCTCATTGGGAATGATGCAACGCACGAAGTGGGGATGTGTAGAGCGCAAGTTGGTCATCAACTTGTTCAGATTTTCCTGTGGCCCAAAGTGCAGGAGGGAAAAGTAATGCAAGTGAAGGAGAGGGATGTAGGGAAGGGAGAGGAGAGAAGGGAAGGGAAAGAAAGACAGAGAGAATGAAGAAATGTTGGGGAGGACATGGAGGAGGGGACAGCCCGAGACCAGAGGGAAAGGGAGATATTGAGATGGGAGAAGAGGAGAGGAGAGGGCAGCCCACAAAGGGGGAGAGAATGGAAAGAAAGAAAGACAAAGAAGGAAAGGGGTCACAAGGGAAGGAGGAGACAGGGGAGTCAGGGATGGAAAGGCAGGAAGGAGCAGGGCTGGTGGGTGCTGGGGAGCCTAGCTGGGTGGGGGCTGGGCTCACAGACTCACCCTGTGCAGAGCTGACACAGTCTGAAAGGATGAGCCTTTCTTGGCTTTGCCTTTGCCTTTATCAATAGCTGTGGAAGGAGAGTCAAAGAAAGGGGCTTGAGTGGGCATGTGGGAGGCCAGAGTTGGGGGGTGGACAATCACAGGCTCTCTTTATGTCTTTGCAAGCATTTGGCCACGAGGTGAGGGTCTTCACTATGGGGGCCTCTGCCTCTCCACCCCCATTCTATCTCACTGATCCTGTACCCCTTGGGGGCAAACCTGACACAAAAGTGGTGGAATGTGCAATGAACCTGTCTCAGAACCAGGTCAGAAACGCTGCTTTGTAGTCCCCAGAGTCCCAGTCTCTACTTACGTGCATCAGCGCCCGCATAGTTGGCAAACAGGTTACTGAGCATCTTGAGGGAAGACTTCTGGTACAAGGCCACCACCGTCTCGTTGAGTGGGTCTTTGTTCTTCTGCAGCCAGCCCAGGATGTTGTAGTCCACGGTGCCGGCGTAATGGATCAGGGAGAAGTGGGCTTCCGGCTTCCCCTTAATGTTGCGTGGCTTCTGGAAGTTGTTGGACTTGCCCAGGTGGTTGTCATACAGCTTGGCCTTGAAGGTCATATCAGTGGCCTTGGGGAACATGCATTCCTCCTCCAGGATGGACATGATGCCCATGGGCTGAGGGTCAAGGGGAAAACATCGTTGAGCATGCTTCATGCAGATGCAGATGGATCCTACTCTAAGGTCAATATTTGTTTATGGTGATGCCTCTTTTGGGTGTTAAGGTATCAGGTTCAGCTTTCAGTACAGTTATTTACAAACTTGCACCTGTTCAAGCTTTCCCAAGGTGGAAGACTTTGTGTGATTTCAGAGGGACTTTTGTGAAAGTCTGGGAATGTGGATACTCTAGGTGCTTTACACACCACTGCATTGCCCAGATCCCTAAGATGTTGGGGTTGAAAACAGATACATTGTTTTTCCCTGCCCCATGCTCAAACCAGGTTAAACCAGGGCTTTTAAACATACTGATATGAGAGGCTTTCCTGGAGCTGCCTGTCCTCCCTGTGTCCATTCTCAAGCCCCTGGGACCTCGGCTCTCCTGTGCCATCCTGTCCTGGGTGGTCAGGACAACACAGGACTCTGGAAACTAGGGCTTGGGATCGAGATCATGTTCCCCAGCAGAGAGAGGGGCTGCCATTTTGTCTGGGGCATTCATGTAGGGCGTGAGTGGGTAGTTTAGGCAGCAGGTGGAGGCAGCACCTTCTCGATGAGGTCGATGCAGGCCTGCAGGTCCATGCCAAAGTCGATGAACTCCCACTCGATGCCTTCCTTCTTGTACTCCTCCTGCTCCAGCACGAACATGTGGTGGTTGAAGAACTGCTGCAGCTTCTCGTTGGTGAAGTTGATGCACAGCTGCTCAAAGCTGTTGAACTGCGGGGGGCAGGGGTGGAGCAGGTCAGGCAGGCAAGGGTCTGAGAGGACAGTGGGGTCAGCCCAGGCCTGTGCCCCAGCCCAGTTAGGAGTGTGGCCGGACCCCTCCTCTGTCAGGCCAGGGAGAGGGAGCCCCCACTGGAAGACAGGATGATGTGTTTATCACCGCTGAGCCCCACCGCCTTTCCCACTCCTGGCCATGATGGTCACAGGTGCGAATGAGTGAGTTACTGTTCCCCCCACACCCAGGCTCCCCCAACTCACATCGAAGATCTCGAAGCCGGCGATGTCCAGGACGCCTATGAAGTATTGGCGTGGCTGCTTGGTCTCCAGGGTGGCATTGATCCGTGTCACCATCCAGTTGAACATCTTCTCGTACACTGCCTTGGCCAGTGCCCCGGTGGCATATGCCACCTGGGAGGTAAGGGAGGGACCCAGATGAGCAGAGTTAGTGGGGACAGTGAATTCCAAAGCCCCCAGTGCAGCATGCCAGCACCCTCCCCATTTATCTCCTAAAGATGACCCACCTGCTGGACATTCTGCCCCTTGGTGACATATTCATTGCCCACTTTCACTCGAGGGTGGCACAGCCCCTTGAGCAGGTCAGCTGAGTTGAGCCCCATGAGGTAGGCAGATTTGTCAGCCTCTGAAAGGAGAGGGCAGGCAGCCAAGTTGGTAAAGGGTTGACTCCTCTACAGATGTAGCCCTCAGTGACTCCACAGCTGCCCTCCAGCATCCAGACTCCTACCTTCAGTGCCGTCTGGCTCAGCCTGCTCCTCTCGCTGCTTCTGTTTGAACTTCATGTTTCCAAAGTGCATGATGGCACCCGTCAGCTTGTACATGGAGTTCTTCTCCTCTGAAGTGAAGCCCAGCACATCAAAGGCATTCTGTAGGCAAATCCCATATTGGTGGACCCCGGAGTAGGAAGTATGGTACGTAAATGAGATCCCGCTTCAGTTGGAGACAGAACTTCTTTCCTGAATCCTTGTGGCTTCTGATACTCCCATACCCGGTAGGAAACTCCAACACCAAGATGGGCAGTACAAGAGCAAGATGGTGTGCATACTGCCCCAGATCTGGCATCTGTGGTCACAACTGTCCTCTGGGGTTGCCTTGTTTACCCACTCATGATTTCTACTTTTGTCCTTCATCTGGGCCCTATACTTGCTTCCCTGCTGGAACCATTTATACCTATCTCTGGTCTTCACCTAACAGCCTGCCCCAGCCCCATGGTGACTGCATGACCTACCCCTCTTCCCTGGGTGATGCCTTGCTTCTTGTCTTGTCTGCTTCTCTGTCTCATGGTGTTCAGCCCTTTTTTGCTTGAACATCAAATACTGGCCACCACTGTCTCATCACACCTATTTCCCAACACATAGTGGTCATAATGCTTGTTCTGCCCCATGGGGAGGGCCATACCACTTTGAATAAGAGATAGACAGTGTCTCAGCTCTCCTACTGAGCCATTGAACTGGCCTCATTTACCCCTCACTGCCTGTCCCCTCACCTCTCAACCAGGTTCTCACACACTTACATCAGTGGCCATGAGCTCTTCAGCGTCATCAATGGAGGCCACCGTGGTCTCTCCTTGGGAGATGAATGCATAATCATAGGGGTTGTTGGTGATCAGCAGCATGTCTGGGAAGAAAAGATGTGGTTAGGATGAGGCACAACCCCCTGGCTCTTGCTGCGGCTGCCTACCACAGCACAGGACTCGCAGGAAAGCACATGACAAGGCTTAATGTGGTCCCACATCCCACAGAACTGAATCCAGCAGTGCCATAAACCCAGGACATGCTAGCAAGCAGCCTCAAGCAGAGGGGACCAGGTTGCCATGGAGATAGTTGGTCTTGGTTGGTAGCTCTGACTCACCCAGCAGCTCGGGCTTTTTGTTAGACAGGATTTGGTAGAAAATGTGATAGTCTCTCTCCGCTTTCAACTGGAAAATAACTCTGGATTTTTCCAGAAGGTCTGTGAACAGTAATGGGAGAAAAAAGAGAAATGTTGGGATTTAGGTGCAAGGAAATAGAGGGAAATGAATGATAAGCATAGCAAGCAAAAGGCAGAGGGAAAGGGAGAGACAAAGAGAGAGGTTCCCATACAGACATGCAGAGACAGAGGTGGAGAAAGACCAGAGAGAGTCTCAGAGAGAGACAAATATATAGACCTAGAAACACAAAAGAGACAGAGACAGAAAGGCAGACAAACAGAGAGAGAAGAGAGACAGGTTGGGATCATGATGACTTAGAATGAGGGTGAGCTCAAGCTGAGTCCTAGCAGATTCATGGCACTCACAGGTCTCTATGTCTGCAGACGCCAACTTTCCGGTCGCCCCAAAATGGATTCGAATGAATTTCCCCTAGAGAGATGGAGGAGAGTGGTGATGAGTGGAGGCCAGGCTCATGTTTGACACCATCCCTTCACCAGCCCAAGTCCCAAACCCAAGGTCAGGGACCACTCACAAAGCGGGAGGAGTTGTCATTCCGGACTGTCTTGGCATTGCCAAAGGCCTCCAGGGCAGGATTGGCCTGGATGATCTGGTCCTCCAGAGTGCCCTGCAGAGGTCAGGAAGGATGGCTGGTGAGAGGTCTCCCCTTCCCTTTTTGCAGTGCAGGCCCGTGGAGGACAACAGGCCTACCTTCCCTGGGGTCTGCTCCTTCTTGCTGCGATCCCCAATGGCGGCAATAACAGCGAAGTACTGGATGACCCTCTTGGTGTTGACAGTCTTTCCTGCCCCAGATTCCCCACTGTCGGGAGAGGCAGGGGCTCATTAGGCAATGAACAGATACCGCTTGAGACAAACAGGCCTCAAGTCAGGAGAGAATGTCTGGTCCTACTCGACAGTGGGAGCCCTGAAGCAGGAGCTTCCGGGTAACGTGCATCCCAAGCACACAGCTGTACTCTGACACGCATGGTGTCAGGGAGAGCACCAGGAAGGATGACAGGAAAATGCCGGGTTTGCTGGTCTTAGATAGGCAAGGTCAACATGAGGCAATGGGCCTGGGCCATTTTGGAAAAGAATGGGGGGCGGTGGGCGTGGCAGAATGGGGAAAGATGAAAGAAAGTGTGGAGGGGAAGAAGATATGGTGACGCTGGGCTTATGGATAAGAGAGCCATGAGTTGGAGGAGAGAGAGTGGAGGGAAGGAGAGAGGAAAACTGCCACAGGAGTGGGAAGCAGAAAGGAAGCAGGGGAGCAAAGGCAAAGGTAAAAGTCACTGGAGAAAGAAGAGCTGGCATGAAGGTAGAGGGAAAAGAGAATGGCGGGTCCTTGATGGGATCTGGGGTCCCTGATGGGGGCTGGGGTCAGGGAGGTTCTGGAAGGGACCAGGGTAGGAGGTACACTCACGTGATCAGGATGGACTGGTTTTCTCTGTCTGTTGGAAGAAAGTGGGGAGGAAAAATCAGGAGCCACACAGGATGCTTTTGCCTGGCATTCACCCACCCTACCACCCCACCTCCCTGCCTCTCTCCAGGCATCTCCCAGTGGCCCAAACCAATAGGCCCATTCCCTCCCATGGGGTTCCCCAGAAAACCCTCCAGTCAAGGCCTGTCACCTGTCAGCATGTACTGATAGGCGTTGTCAGAGATGGAGAAGATGTGGGGCGGCGCCTCGCTCCTCTTCTTGCCCCGGTAGGCAGCCACCACCTCTGCATTGTATACCGGCAGCCACTTGTAGGGATTGACGGTGACACAGAAGAGGCCCGAGTAGGTCTAGGGTAGAAAAGGAGGGTTGAGTTTTTGGCGATGAAGAGGGGAGGATGGCAGATTTCAGAGTTAGAGAACCATTCCAGGAGGGGAAGAGGAGAAAGGAAAATCTATGAAAGCACTAAATCTGAGTAATCCCAGCCTGGGGGGGTATTAGAACTGAACCAGGGAGGCAGGGGCCCAGATAGAGTGCTGTAATGGCTGCACACAAAGAACAGAAACCTGGGGTTCCAGGAGGCAGGCCTGTGCAGACCAGGAAGCTACTAGATTCAGAGGATGTCCTGGAGGGCGCACTCACGTAGATCATCCAAGAGGCATAGCGTTCCTTGAGGTTGTAGAGCACGGCAGGTTCGTGCAGGAAGGTCAGCATGGCCATGTCCTCGATCTTGTCAAACTTGGGTGGGTTCTGCTGCATCACCTGGTCCTCCTTCACGGTCACCGTCTGCAACAGTCCACATGCAGGCCATACGGTCAGCCCTCCCTCCTCCCAGAAAGGAGTCAGGTGAGTTCTAGGACAGTGGTGTTCAAGAGAGAACCACCGGTGATCATAGAGAAGACAGACAGGATGTTGGGAAGGAGAAGGGCTATTTGGCAGGTGTGGATCCCTGCCCAGAGGAAGGGGAAATCGGACTGTCCTCAGGTCTGCATGGGGTGGGTCCTGGTGGCAACCCTCTCTGTGTACCCCAGCTATGGGAGTCCAGGAGGGCCACTCATACCAGCCCTGCTGCCCACCTTGCCATGCTCAGTCTCAGCAGTGACTTTGCCACCCTCTCGAGACAAAATTTTGGCCTTGACGAACTCCTCTTTGTCATCAGGCACGAAGACATCCTTCTTGAGGTCAAAAGGTTGGGTCTGGGCTTCCAGCCGCTCCTTCTCTGACTTTCGCAGGAAGGGGGCGGCGGCCCCAAAGGCGGCCATCTCCGCATCCACCATGGCTGTGCCTGCAGTGGATGGGAGTGGGTGGGAGCTGGAGAAGATGCTGGCTGCCCTCCTGTCCGCCCACCCTCCACTCCCTTCCCTGGGTTATCTGTTTCAGTGGGAGCCCCAGAGCCTAGCACCATACTCATGAGTCAGGGGGGTCACTGTGAGTCCCTGGTTCCCTGAGCTTATCCCTCAACCACGTAATAGCCTAGCAAACCTGTCAGGCAGAAAGGGAGGCTAACTTTTGTTCAGCTTGGGGCACTCCTACAGGAGGGAGGAGCGTTCTGGGCTTCTCATGGGAGCAGAAAGTTAACTCCATCCATCTCTTATCCTTGTCCCTCCTTGGCACCTCCTCTCTAGTCACAGGCAAGGAGCTCTTGGCTACCAAGACATACTCCCCAAGGCAAGGCAGAAACAGAGTCCCATGCCTGGCTTTGGGGCTGTCATGGCCAATCTTCCCAGATTCCCCCACACTCCATCTTCCGCTTTCCTTACCTTGGTTTCTCGAATGTGTGTACTAGATGAAAGGGGCTCAAGCCTGCAGGGGACCTGGAAAGAGGGAAGGCTGTGTCAGGGCCATCTCCCTGCTGCTCTCTGGCTCTGCCCCTCAGCACCTGCCCCTCCCCTAGGTCTGAAAACAGGTGGGGAGTGGTGGCCACCTTCTCTGGTCCTGTCCTCTGTCTGGCTTTCCAAACACTGTTGCCCTTTCTCCTGGGCAATAGATCTGACAGTTTCCTGATGTCCATTCATCCTCCTCCCACCTGGAGATGGTCTTTCCCTTGCCTATACTCATCTAGTGAAACTTGCCTTCTTTGAGCCACCTGAGAAACAACTAATGCTCACATCTGTTCAGTCCTTTACAGTCTACAAAGCATTTTTATGCACACTCTCTTACTCAGTCTTCACCCTGTTCTACAGATGAAGAAAGCAAGGTTTAGGGGCTTTCTTGTCAAAGAACACACAACTATTTAGTGGTGGAGCCAGGCCTTTAGCCCCATGTCTCATGACTAAATCTAGTTCTCTTCCATTCTGTTCCCATTTGATTGTCAGTCTTGGTAGACCCTCTCAGAGAGGAGACCCTTGTGGGCATCCTCTCATAGGCACACCCATCACACAGCCAAATGCTCTCCATATGTCCTCTGATGAACACATATGCCCGCTGCTCACACACATGCCTCATACAGACATGCTTCCTTCCTCTACCTCGGCACATACTTCCCTCCCACTGTGCCATCATGCCTGGGCAACAGACACACATGTTAAATATCCAGTATAAATAAGCCCATATCACTGTACATTCTCAAGTATACAAACACTTGGGTCAGGCACACCACACGCCTGTGAGCTCCTTTTGCAGGGTGTACACATGCTGTAGCAGTCTCGACTTCTGAATGTGCACACAAGCACCTCCATGTGCATGGATATAGGTAGTCACTCATTACGGACCCCGTAGAACTAGCTTTGAAGCATATATGCTTCCTCAGTAATTCTTCTCTGCCATCCTCTTCTCCCTCCCCTCAAATGGACCAGCTATCCTCAGGCGTGATCATAAACATGTCTCCCACTTGACATTTTTGTATCTTAATTAGGCAGTAAGGTACATACCCTCCCTCACCATGCATTGAAACCGCATGCTTGTACACAAAACACACACGCACTCACACACACACGCGCGCGCGTGCACACCTCTAATGCATAATGCATTCTGGTCCCATATGTTCAGATATAGACACCCACACACACTCGCAACACATGAGCCCTCCCACTCCCAGGGCACCTACACTCATGTTTAGACCTGCACATGTGTGCTCAATGATCAGACCTGTACTCTGCATGAAGCCCTGCATGCAGCTTGCTGTTCCTAGAGGAGCCCCTTCCTGAAACTGGGGCCCCCTTATCCCAGAGGAAGGCCTCCTGCTTGGCGCTCCTACCTGAGAGCAGCAAGGAAAGACAGAGCACAGGGGAGAGCCGTGGAGCTTGACCTGGTCAGGGGCTGTATATATCAGGCAGCAGGCACCCCCACCCCCACCTGCACCCAGTCCCTAGCCGGATTTAGAAAGGGCTGTTGTCACTAGAAGCATTTCCCCCAGGCTCCCCCCCTTTCCCCAAAGTGCTCTCCCCACCCCCACCCCCCCAGCTAGGAAACAATTGGAAGTGGTCGTCATTGTTATGGCATGGAGTGTACAGGGTCTGAGTTCCAGGGGGCGGGGATGGCTCCAAGTGCAGCCAAAATATCTCCCAGGCCAGGCTTCACATTCCATAGCTGGCAGGAGAGGGGACTGGTCAGACCACCATGACCTCAGGCAGGCAGGGCCCTGGCCCTCCCCCAGGGCTCTCCTGGCCTCTGACACTGCTGCCCCTCCTGCTCTACCTCCTCCGCTGGCCCAGCCCCACTTGCATAGTGTCCTCTCTGCTTCCAGGCCTGGGTCCTGCATCCAACAGTGAGACGGGAGGGGGCTGAGTGTCAATAGCAGAGGGGTATGGCAGAGTTGGGGGCATGGCCCCTGGGAGGGGGCTAGACTGGGGCAGCTGGCAGAAGGTTTCCAAGCCAAGTGGAATGACCAAGGGAGCTTAGAGATGGGGACACGGGGTTGGGCACTGATTTCCCTGGACCAGCCAGGCAATGTGTTGAGGTCACTGAACCTCAGAGCCAAGCAGGCCATTCGTTAGCCCTTCATTTTATGGAGACGGGAAGTGCCTTCTTTAAGGTCATGCAGCTAGTCGGGGCAGTAAGACTCAAGGGGGTGGAGGGAGCTGAGCAGATGGGGGATGGAGGCGAGCCCGTGGAGGGAGGGCTAGAAGTCCAACCAGGCAAGGACCCACTGTGCTCAGAGGGCAGACCTGGCTGCTGCCTGATGGTCCTCGTGGAGCCCCCTGCCTGACTCATTTTCCTAGCTCAGCCTTCAGCTGAACGCTCTAGCCCAGAGTCAGACACTCTTGGTGCCAGAGATAATACAGCTTCTCTCAGCTAGGAGACCCCTGACGAAGACAGCTGCTGTGTGGCCCACCTATCCTCTTGTGTTCTGTGGAGTGATCTATCTCCAGAGCCGGTGAGACTGGTGTTCTGGCAAGTGGGGCAGAAGGACAGGAAAAATGTCCCCCTTTTCCTGCAGGCCTCAGAAGCAGCCACAAAGTAGGTGAGGAAAGAGGACTGGAGCTCAGCCCATGAGCACAGAACGTAGTTAATGCCACCCTCTTCTAGCCACCGCGTGTGCAAGCTTCACTGGCTCCGTGTCCAGGCAACCACTGTGTGGTTTGCTTTGAAATGCACCCCGCCCCCCCCCCCCCTTTCCCAAGCACAGCTCTTCAGCGCATGCGGATTAATCTATCTGATTAGCTGTCAGCCTGGGAGGAGAGC